AAAAAACATCAGTGTAGGGTTAAAATATCGAATAAATGTAATTATATCCACGAATAAATTCATATCAAATCGAATGTAATAAATATTTCGGACATTCACCAAAGCATATCTGTGATTGTCGACATACACCGGTGAGGGTCCGAATGTACAAGAATGTAATGAAATATTCGATCTTTCACCGACGTATTTGTTGTTTGTCGACATTCACCGGTGAAAGTCAACAACCACCGATTTCGGTCTTTCGCCGTGATATATATAAATACAAAATACACATATCTTTTATATGAGATAAAAAAAAATTTAATATTGTAAAATTATTGATACATAAAAAAATAGTTTTGAAGTTGTTCATAGTTGATTGAAATTTCGTATTATCATAGGTTTTTTATTCATAAACTAATTCTGATTTTTAATTTTTTTTAAAAAATTACTCATGCATTACAAATTCTTGAAAAAGTATCATAAGACCTGAGGTACTAAATATTATTTGTGAGTTCAAAAACAAAATTAGTATGAGGTGCCGGGTTTTCTTTAGCATGCCTTAGCATATAAAGAATTAAAGATAGGTAGGTAAGTACTTAATTTACGTCTTACTAGAACTAAACAATGGGCTACTGGCGACGGTCTAGGAAACATCCCTAAAGGATGATTCAAAGACATGCCATCACAATTTTGTTCTTCTGCCATGAGTTAAGCACTACTAATGCAAAAACTGACATTTCAATAGAAGTTAATCAAGTTTCACTGTTTCCGTTTTTCCATTTTTAGTGCACAACGAACGAACCAATGAAATTGACCTGCCGTGTAGAAGGCATTCCCGAACCTGATGTTGAATGGTACTTCAACAGGGATAAACTGTCCTCGGGGGTCAAGTATTCAATCCTCAAGGAAGGAGATAAGTGTATTCTTACACTGCCACATCCCCGTATCAACGATTCCGGTATCTATGAATGCCGTGCCAAAAATCTGGTGGGGAAAGATTCGTGCAAATCAAATGTTGGAGTCAGGTAAATATGCTCAATAATTTCTAAAAGTTTTTGTTTAACGATTTAGTTTTCGTTAACCCATTAAACTTTTTAGGAACGACGAGATAAAAACTATCTCTATTTCTTGTGTCAATAAACCATTAAATTATAGTAGTTTTTATCTCGTAACGACTCTATTTTTTATCGACCACTGTAAGACCATTCTGGCCCAACTGTCTCTTCGGTCCGTCAAGTACCCTGTAAGGAAGGTAGCGGGATTAAATCCCGTCATAACCTGGAATTTGTCTTTGTGATGAAAAAGGAATATTTATTCAGAGAAATTACGCTTTTGTGTCAGATTTCGTAATTTAAAATATTGTCCGTTTAATTAGCACATTTAAGGTCATCACCTCAAACCATTAAAATTGAGTCCTAAAACGTGAAGATCTGATCATTAGATCAAAAGCTGTTCAAGGTGGTCCAATTTTTTGCCTACAGTACAACATGTATTCTATGCAACCTGCAAATGTCATTATTGTATTTGTGTCTCCATATACCATTACTGTTCACTGTAACCAGAATCCTTCTCAAAAATTTATTTTTCTACTGAAACTATTTTGTTGAACCATTCCTTCACATAATTAATTAAATCGATATAATTTTTATAAGTGAAATTTTCATGTTATTAAAATTTTAAATTCATTCTTCGTCACAGCTCAGCTGCCTCTGAAGGTGAACCTGCAATGTTCCTGAAGAAGTTGAAAGACACTTCTGTTCTTAATGGAATGACTGCAAAACTGACTGCGTGTATTTGTGGTACTCCAAAACCTGAAGTTAAATGGTATAATTTCCATTTTAAATTACTTTTTTATTACTTTCTTTTTTAAAACTAAGTTTTTTACTGCTTTTATCTCCTTTAGCGTAGCATTCCACTAAACTGTGAAAACCTCTAAAAATACAGAGAGAAATCAATAATCTCTGTTAAGTTATGTAAGCATTTGATGAAATCCATATAACCAAATTTCTCGTTCATAGTTAAGGAAGATACCTATTTTTCCCTGTTCCATCTTTCTAAAAGAACTCTTTTGAAGATATTTCAACGCATTGTTATTTAATTCACGGGCCTTATTATTGTAGTTGGTTGAGTCTTTTAGTCTTTATGACTGAATATATCTTCGGACGGGCATCAACTCCCCTTGCTGAAAATATGGTTTCTGATCCATTTGTGTTTTTGCAAATCGTGTCTAAGTGATTCTAATTCCAACCTAATATTATGCCCTCCATGTTTTCAGAACTTTAAAAGACTTAATGTCTAAGAACTGGGAAGTAATTTACAGAGTTTCACTGACTNTTTTTTTTTTTTTTTTTTGAATTACTTCATCTCTTTCTGTCCATTTACAGAAATTGTCCACCTTCAGCTTTTGTTTCTTGTTACGAATCTCCTGATAAACGATCTACAGTAAGTTCTCATGTAAAAGAATTTTACGGTGTACTGTGAGATAAATCTGAGTTATGGAATGCAAGTACACGTAATTAACTACAGCATTAAATAAATAAACTGATAATAAAATGAAGAAAAGAATTAAAAATACTTCTCTACATTATGCCCTTTTAAATTGATTAAATTTTTTCTAGATATTTTCCCTTAAAATTGTTAAAGGATTTTCCAATAATTACGAATGCTTTAAATTTATCGTCGTTTTATATTAGTCTAAGCGTTAAATGAAAGTGTTAATTATTTGATAATATGTAGTGTATTATGGTTATAGGTAGCGTATTGGTGGTCAGTAATGTGTTGAATCACAAGAATTAAAGAAAATGATAATTTGATTTGCTATTTTATTATGATTGGAAAAAATCTTCCGCAAAAAGCCTTTATGTTGGAAACTATTATGATTAAAAGTATGAAAATAACAAATTTTGTTAGGTTCAAGGATGGAAATCAGCTCTCTGAAAATCCGAGATTGGTATTAGAAGCAGATCCAAATGGTGTTATTCGTCTCATAATTAGAAGTGCACAAAAAGCGGATATGGGAACATATAGGGTCTCCATTGAAAACAAATTTGGAAGCGATACGTGTACAGCTGTTCTCGGAATCGAAGGTATATTTTCTTTTATGCTATATTTTATTCTCTTAGTATTATGTTATCATGTAAAGTTATCATGTTATACATCATGCATTAAAAATCCACACAATATTTAAAAACGTAGTGAAATACAAGTTAAGTATTCAAAGATGTTATGATTTTTCCAGCTCTGGCAATGACCACCACGTATTTTTTGTTCCGTTGAGGGATTTAAAAATATTTTTAAATCGAATTTAATGAACCAAAAAAATAGTCAAGCTAACATTTTGCTATCATTTCACGCTAACATCATTCATATCGGACTCCATTAATAATATTATTTAAATTTAACATGATAAGCAAATGAATTTGCAAAACGTGTGGTTGGGTGAATTGCAAGGTAAATAAATAAAATAAAGCTTCCAAAAACTTTAAAAAATAAGGTCTAGAAACCTAACGCACCAGATCTAAGTAAGATAGAGCAAAAGAAGGTGTAAAACGATCTAACATTAGGAGGTAAAAGCAACCATGCATACTGATGCTCTTCATGATGTTTATTCATTATTATACCATGGGTGAGAAAAACTTATCAATATCAGCTCACATTTTTCATTCAAACTGAGGATCATCTCGCATTTTTCATACAAACTGCGGATCATCTCACATTTTTCATGCAAACTGCGGATCATCTCACATTTTCCATACAAACTGCGGATCATCTCACATTTTTCATACAAACTGTGGATTATCTCACATTTTTCATACAAACTGCGGAAGTGTTACAATATAATACTACTAATTAATCTACATTGTCAGGCAAAATTAACACTGAGTGTTCGCTTATAGTGCAGCATCGTGGTTTCTAGAGAAATGCATTGCAAAGTCAAACATTTCCAGCAACAGCCTATTGTAGGCCATGAGGGTCATGGATTTTAAAGCTCTACATTTCCACTATCAACGGCATGACTGTGGCGTTGGGGTTAGTAAGGGCGTTGGGATTAGTATTAGTACAGGCTGGTTCCCATCTATCTGAAGCTGATTAGACTTTAAGCCGACGCTAGGAATCAAACTCAGTCCTTAACAATTGGAGTTCGGTGCCTTAACCAGTGAGTTATTGCTGCTCTCGTAACTTTCATTTTTAATTTTTAATGTATGTTTTTCAGGAGAAGACAAGCTTAAAGCTGATGTACAGAAAAAAGAAACTCAAAAGCAAAGCTTGCCTGGTAATTTTTTTTCATTTTTACTGGCAAACTTGTCAAAAAATACTTGTTCAAAGTTTCATTTTTACTAGTGTTATTGAGATAATGGATTTTATTTTTACATTTCATTGTAGGACCACCTTCACCACTACCTCATGCCCCATATATATTTAAAATGACGGACAACTGCGCATCTATAGGTTGGAGACCTTCTATACCCCAATTCCCACAAGTTCCTTTCACGTACAGATTGGAAATGTGCAAAATACCAGATAGTGCCTGGACAACATACAAATCCGGTAAAAAAGAACAACTTAAACATTTTAATTTTTATACAGTTGTGTAATAAAAACATCTGGAGATTGCCATAAATTGAGGCACTACATTAAAAACAATCTCAATAGCTGATTGTGTACTTGTTAGAGCTATTTCAACTTGACATGGGCTTGATATTAAATTTTTCTATTATGCTTATTACTTATCTATTATTTTTCTATTATACGTAAAAATTTTAAATAATGATCATAATTCTGCTAGAAATCACTTACAATATCCTATAAACGGGATAACTAGATAAAACTTAAATCAAGTAAGTATTTTTATATTCAGATTTTAATGTTAGTTTTTCTACACAAAATTTTGTACCAAATTCATGTTTTCAGAAGATTTAACCAAAACAAAAAGAGGAAGATTTGTCGTTATTGTAGTATTTCCATTAAATTGTTTTATGAAGTGTTCATATCTTAATGTTTTTTTTATTTCACGATTAAAATAGCAATGTTTTTTCTTATAGAATTCATCAAAACTTATTTATAACCTTTTGAGATTGAGTATTAAATAATGACTGAAAATATGATTTACACTAGAAAATCTGTAACTTAAAAGAAAGTAAATTCATAAATCTGATACATTTTTTTAAAACAATTTAATCCATTAAACTTAATTAAACTTTTCTAATTATTTCAAATTATTACATAAAAATAATAAATTTTAATTTTGAATTTTTTTGCATGTCCCTTTAAGACCTAGTGCAATTTGAAAGGACTTATTTTTTCTTGTATAAAAAAAAACTCAAAACGTAAAAAGTGGAAGAAAAGTTATTTTATGAACATAATTCTAAGAAATTAAAGATAATCCAATCGCACTAGAATATAATGCTAAATTTGTAATGGATATTTTTAATATTAAAATTGTAGCTTTTAGAGAAGAAATTTTTTATTTAGTTTAAACTTTTTGAAATAAAAATATTACCACTATGTACAGATGTCAAACCCACACAATCATGCAGATTATGTCTTAAAGGGATATTGTAGGATATTTTTTATTGTGTGGCTCTTCACGTTTTACTCATGAAACAAAATTCACTAAACGGAAATAAATAGATATTTATTTGTCATGAAACTGTTCAAAAAGTAACGTGAATTGAATTTATAACTTTTCACTTTAATTAAAAGCTTATTCCTACGTGGATAAATCAACAACTCCTTGAAGAGAGAAGGCCTCAGCATGAATCAATTTAGTTGTCCGAAGTAATGAACATAAACTGTGCAGTGGTGGCTTAAAATAGATATCACTACTTAGTGCTACTAAGATGCGTAGTAGAGTAAATACGTTTTAATTACGTTTGGACTACTAACGGAGAAAATTTCGTGTTTATGGTTACCCGTGCTGAGGCAACGCCTCCTATAACTAAAAGCCTCCACACGGTTTCTTATAGGTCAGGGGTGGCGAAAATTTATACACCAACGTGCCATTTTCTCTTAAAAATTGCTTAATGAAGTCATAGACGTGCCGTCAAATAATTTGACATCGTGATTATTGGGAAAATAATAATACTAAATACTATCAACTCAAAACTCTTTATTTACATTGAAAAAAAATACATTTTGCANTATTAATCTAAGATTAAAAAACGCATGCAATTCGAATATAAACAAATAAAATCTGCAAAGGGTTGGAGCAGAGTTGAGTTGTAGACACTTTAAATCTCAGATTATTATTAGAAACTATAAGATAAGCCCGAAATGAAGCAATTCGCGACCACGCCCACTAAAGCAATTGTTGGTGAGTGACTTGTCTTCTAACCCTTATAACTTTTGAACCAATTGAAAGATTTCGAAATGTAAGATATGAAAATGCGCAGAATAATGCAAGGAATAAAAAAAAATGATTCTTGAAAAATCGATTTTTTGAGAGTTTTAAGGGTCCTGACCCCCCTTAACCAGTGCGGCTGTAGTAACTTTCATTTAATTTTTAATGTATGTTTTTCAGGAGAAGACAAGCTTAAAGCTGATGTACAGAAAAAAGAAACTCAAAAGCAAAGCTTGCCAGGTAATTTTTTTATCCTCTGTTCAAAGTTTTATTTTTACTGTTGTTATTGAGATAATGGATACTATTTTTACGTTTCATTGTAGGTCCACCTTCACCACTACCTCATGCCCCATATATATTTAAAATGACGGACAACTGCGCATCTTTAGGTTGGAGACCTTCTATACCCCAATTCCCACAAGTTCCTTACACGTACAGATTGGAAATGTGCAAAATACCTGATAGCGCCTGGACAACATACAAATCCGGTAAAAAAAAAATAACTTAAACATTTTATTTTTATATAGTTGTGTAATAAAAACATCTGGAGATTGCCATAAATTGAGATACTACATTAAAATCGATCTCAATAGCTGATTGTGCACTTGTTAGAGCTATTTTAACTTGTCATGGGCTTGATATTATATTTTTTTATGATGCTTAGAAAATGTGCAACTTAAAAGAAAGTAAATTCATAAATCGGATAAATTATTTTTTAAAACAATTTAATTCATTAAACTTAATTAACTTTTTCTAATTATTTTAAATTATTCCATGAAAAATAATAAATTTTAATTTGAAACTTTTTTTGCACGTCCCTTTATGACCTATTGCAATTTGAAAGGACTTATTTTTTTCTTGTATAAAAAACTCAAAACGTAAAAAGTGCAAGGAGAGTTATTTTATGAACATTATTCTAAGAAATTAAAGATAATCGAATCACACTAGAATATAATACTAAATTTGTAATGGATATTTTTAATATTAAAATTGTAGCTTTTAGAGAAGAAAATTTTTATTTAGTTTAAACTTTTTGAAATAAATATATTACCACTATGTGCAGATTGGGTTAATGTCAAACCCACACAGTCTACGTCTTAAAGGGATATTTTTATTGTGTGGTTCTTCCCGTTTTAGTCATGAAACAAAATTCATTAAACTGAAATAAATAGATATTTATTTGCCATAAAACTGTTCAAAAAGTTACTTGAATTTATAACTTTTCATTTTAATTAAAAGTTTATTCCAACGTAAATAAATCAACACATCCTTGAAGAGAGAAGGCCTCAACACGAATCAATTTAGTTGTCCGAAGTAATGAACATAAACTGCGCAGTGGTGGCTAAAATAGATATCACTACTTTCGGGTTACTAAGCTACGTAGTAGAGAAAATACGTTTTCATTACGTTTGGACTACTAACGGATAAAATTTCGTGTTTATGGTTACCCGTGCTGCGGCAACGCCTCCTATAATTGAAAGCCTCCTCACAGTTTCTTATATTCAGTCCGATCAGGCCACTATGAAGGCAAATCAATTTATGAAAGAGCCATCTAATAAAAACTCTAGTAAAAATAAGAAAGTGGTAGCAAATATATGTCTGTAAATTTGTTTAATTTATGAGTATAATTAGTTTGTCGTATTTACTTGTCAACCACTACAGATTCAATTCTCAAATGTATATGATAAAGTTCTCTTAATTACTTTAAAAATAGAATTTGGCTTCTTGCGCACCACTGGTTCACTTTTTAAATAGTTGCAGACTACTTATAAGAAACCGTGTGGAGGCCTTCTCTCTTCTAGGAAGTATTGGATAAATGCAATTATATTTATACACTGACAATATTTTTCTAAAAGCGTACAAACACAAGAAAAATCTTAAAGTGTTGTTTTTCAAGTGTTAAATATTACTAAATATCGTTCAGTATAATAGACAATATATTTCAAGAGAATATAAGGAAGTGTTGATTCAAACCGAAAAATTTATTTCAGTAATTGTTCTCTTTTCATCCCCCAGGAATAAAAGACACATCTTGTGACATTCGAGATTTGTTGCCAGGAACAGATTATATGTTTAGAGTGAGAGTCGAAAATCGATATGGTGCAAGTGAACCATCACCATATGTTACCGCTCACAGATCACGTCTTCACAGGCCAATAACACCAACTGATTTTGCACCAAAGGATTATGATCTTGATCATCTGAAGCTCGACAAATATGGTAAGGAAAAATATAATTTTCATTTATTTCTTTGCTTAACCCTTTATAAAAGCAGTACTAAGTAAACTTATCACCAATTTTTAAAGTCTGTGATAAACTGTTTTATCACTTCTAATTTGGCTTTCCATAAGAAAATACGTTGGAATGAATATACTAGGAATGAAATTGGTGACCATGTGCTAGTTTTAGAAAATGCATAAAAAGTTAATATATGCATTTGAAATTTGTATGACTATTGATAAAATTATGTTATAAATAAAAATAAATAAAAGTCAGTAAGCATGGTTGCCACGGGCAACTAAAAATACAAAAAATGGTGACTAATAAAATTGAAAATTTTATTAAAAGAAATTAAAATTCGCGACTTTTTCTAGCATATTTTTTTTAGTTTACTATTAAAAGTGAATGCAAAAGCATATTAGTATATGAATAATATGCAATGTAAATCAAAGTGGTTTTCATTATAACCGTCGTTGAATAGCCGTCCCAAGTTTTGGGTTTACAACTACTAATGCTCAACTGCATAGCCTTGTAATTTTGAACCTAATCCAGAAGACAAGGAAACTCCTGGATCAAGTATTGGGAGAAATTTTGCCTTCGTTGAGGACTTTTTGATGGAACTAATACAAAACAAATGAAATAAAATAAAAATATGACCACCGAAGCCGACGTCTTCAGGGGATACCGGCTATTAATTTATCTATTAATTTATCTACGTATCTCCTTCTCCTGACCTTTTCATATCATTTTTAAACTTTTACTGCGCATTATTATAGGGGGCGTTGTTTTTCAGTTTTTAGTGTTTTCTTTTCCTCCGCTTTTGAAGTTGATTCTTGACCTGTGACTGTGAGTTTTTAATTTTCTGATGATTTTTATTGATTTTCTTTTCGTAATTTGTTTATTCTTTTGAATGTATCTTGTTTTTCCTGGACCTCTATACAAAACCATCGGGGTACTGAGGGAGATATTTTAAGCTTTTGCTTCTCCCTCAAATAGAAATGGTTTTGTTTTTAATGGCTACCGGGGCCGGTACCCCCTGAAGACGTCGGCTTCGGTGGTC